ACTAATTTTGTAAAGAACTTCCATTTTTTATACACTGGTTTTGTAAAAAAATCGATTTTTTATACTTTGGATTCCGCACTGGCAGATTAGTTATACACACGGATATGTTATTTTTTTGTAAAGCTTATGTGATGATACACTGTTTGCGTTAAATTCCCATACCGATACTGAGAGTATTAGGTTCACTAACAATTTACTCTTATTTCATGGTTCTCTTAACTATTGCAGCTATATGTGGTGATATCGTTATATTATGGTGATATTGAAACTGGTGAATTAAAATGTTCTTGCTTACACAGTAGTTTTGTTAAACTATGTTTCTTATTCTAATATCCTGATTCTGTCTAAACAATAGACATTCTACTTCACGATAAAACTTTTTTTGTCCACATTGTATGTCTAAACACTTATACTGATGATATTTTATTATATTAATCTATGTTTAAACACTTATAGTAATGATATTTTATTATATTAATCTATGTTTAAACATTTAAAGTAATGATATTTTATTTTATGAATCTATGTTTAAACACTTATAGTAATGATATTTTATTATATTACTCTATGTTTAAACAATTATAGTAATGATATTTTATTATATTAATCTATGTTTAAACACTTATAGTGATGATATTTTATTATACTAAGCTATGTTTAAACACTAAAAGTAATGATATTTTATTATATTAATCTATGTTTAAACACTTAAAGTAATGATATTTTATTATATGAATCTATGTTTAAACACTTATAGTGATGATATTTTATTACATTACTCTATATTTAAACACTTATAGTAATGATATTTTATTCTATTTATCCATGTTTAAACAATTATAGTAATGACATTCTATCACATTACTCTATGTTTAAACACTTATAGTAATGATATTTTATTACATTACTCTATGTTTAAACACTTATAGTAATGATATTTTATTACATTACTTTATGTTTAAACACTTATAGTAATGATATTTTATTACATTACTCTATGTTTAAACACTTAAAGTAATGATATATTATTATATTTATCCATGTTTAAACACTTATAGTAATGATATTTTACTACATTACTAACTATGTTTAAACACTTAAAGTAATGATATTTTATTATATTAATCTATGTTTAAACACTTATAGTAATGATATTTCATTATAGTAAGCTATGTTCTCTTGTCTTCAGAAACGCAAACTTTCTTTCTGTGTCGTAATACAACTATTCTGATTTGTCAGTTTTACACAACAAAATATTTCTAATCTCAGCATATGTCGTACCAAAAATCCATGTGTACAATTCCAAAAGTCTAAGTAAAGATGTCACTAGGAGATGAGCACGTGCAAAGCTCATCTTTATGCTTGTACTGCTAGTAAAGCGTGAAAGCGCCCTCCATTCCTTTGCCAACACCGCCTTGTACGTGGTTCTTGAGTTTGTTTATTTTTTCCTTCACTTTCCGTTGATAGAAACGTGATACCACTGTACAGTATCACCGTTTGTCATTTTGCGACGCTATATACATGATATAATATCCTAGACACGCAATAAACTTAGACTATTTATGTGAAACCTCTGTTCTCTAAAATTTATAACCTGATTAATTATAAACGCAGACAGAGTTTGCTCATTAAACTGCTATTTTTGACTATTTCAGAATGGTCATTTGTACACTTGCGTACCGAGTTACCAAGTAAAAAGGCCAGAAGTTTCCTGTTCTCAACATGCAAGGGAAAAAAACACACACAGCAAAATCAACCTTTTAAATAAATAAATAAGTAACTAAAAAACAAACAAACAGTTTTTTCCTAAAATGTGACTCAAGAATAAATTAAGATTTCAGTGCTGAGAGTGGTGTGACGATATCGTAATACAGCGTATATGTATTATCAGTACAGTTTCAGTGTTGAGAGTGGTGTGACGTTATCGTTATACAGCGTATATGTATTATCAGTACAGTTTCAGTGTTGAGAGTGGTGTGACGTTATCGTTATACAACGTATATGTATTATCAGTACAGTTTCAGTGTTGAGAGTGGCGTGACGTTATCGTAATACAGCGTATATGTATTATTTTGAGTACATCAAACTTATATATATATGTAAACGAACAAAACAAGCCTAAACAACAACAACAAATTAAATTCAATTAAAGACGCTGCATAAGTTAAAAGGATCCGCAGGGTACAGGCTATAGTGTGGGATATAAAATGTGCCATGGGTTTTGGAGATGACTGCGGAACTAGGACCCACATTACGGTGTGGATACACCGTCTATCAGTCTTAATCTCCGTTCGCTAGTCTCACATGAAGAAATTCATGTTTTTAATTTACTCAACGTCTTTAATTTAATTTTGTTTGGGCTTGTTTTTATTCATTTAAATGTAATTTATCACAGGTTTAGAGCTGTTGTTTTTAACGCAGTCCTTCCTTTTTATTTTATTTTGCTTGACTGTTTAAGTATGTCTCCGCTAGAAACCGGGTTTCGATACCAGTGCTGGGCAAGGCATAGATAGCCCATTAACTACAAACAAACAAACATTATTCATTCACCTTGAGCCCGGCATGGCCAGGTGGTTAGGGCGCTCGACTCGCAGTCTGCCGGTTGCGGGTTCGAATCCTCATCCCACCAAACATGTTCGCCCTTTCAGTCGTGAGGGCGTTATTATGTGTCGGTCAATCCCACTATTCGTTGGTAAAAGAGTAGCCCAAGAGTTGGCGGTAGGTGGTGATGACTAGCTGCCTTCCCTCTAGTCTTACACTGCCAAATTAGGGATGGCTAGCGCAGATAGCCCTCGTGTAGCTTTGCGCGAAATTCAAAAACAAAGCATTCACCTTCAACTCTAGAATTTATAAGCTAACCTACTTGAAAATTTAATAATTATGCTGAGCTATTTTACTAAGTACTCTAACAAGTATTGATATCAAATTAATAATATTGATATAAGTTACTTTATTCTTCAATTCGTTTAACTTTCAGATAAATAGATATATAAGATTCTTCTACTGAAACGTTTTCTTCATTTGTTGAAAGCACTTGTTGATAGGGCTTAACATGAAAATCGCTCTTGATCTAGTAGAAAACATGTTCCTACTAATAAAATTTAACAACGAGAACCAACTAGACTAAGGAATTTTACTGATATAAAACGTTTCGACACGTGTTCTATTTGTTAATGTGTTAAACTTGTAATACAGTTTTCTTCGCTACCCATTCAGTCAGAGTATGATGAAAAGGCTGCTTGACTCGTAGGTTCGAATACCGCCACTGAACATGCTCGCCATTTCAGCCGTGAGGGCGTTATAATATGATGACCGCTAATCCCATTTTTCGTTGATAAAGAGTTGACATTAGGCAATGTTGACTTGTTGCCTTCTTACAAACGACTGGCTTACCTGAGGTCTCTTTGCATAAAACACGTTTTTGTTTCTTTTTACTAAATTATGCTAATTTATTTATTTCTTATGATAATTCAAATTCTTTGGAAAAATGTGTAAGTACTGAACTCAAATAAACTTCATATACAGTTTAATTAATCAAACCAGTTCTATTAAATGTTTAACTGTAATAATTAATAATATATTGAAACAGTATTTTCATATTAAACGTATTAGTACAAAGCGAGCTAAAGCAGCCAAACCTTGGATGTTATTTCGATAAGGATACTCTTTTATTAATATACTGTGCTTTGGCTTATCCTGATATTCATCACGGTATATTGAGTTGGGGTTACGATAAAATAATTATATTATACACTGTACATGTCATGCGTAAGAGAATTCAACAATTTATTGTTTTGGAGAGCTTAGGAGTCATTTTACCGAGAGTTATTATGAACTGAATATCCTCAAGATATTTATGAATTATAACCTTGGACATTCAAACATAAAGTTTATCATAATAATTTGCCATCTTTGTGTTTCGAGTATTTGAATCCATCATCTGATGTCCGTGCTTATGAAACTCAATATTCTACGTTAGCCGATTATTAAAAGTAATAAACAAAATATCGGTTCAATTCTCTAACATATACTGGTGTAAAAACTCGATCAGATAATCCAGTTGAACTAAAATATGGTATTTATAATTTAGAAAGTACCGTAATGTTCTGTTTAATAATTGTGTTGTTTTAATAGTTATAAAGTTAGAATACACAACTACCAGTGATAAAGGGTTGTTTGATAGGGTTTGGTAGACTAGAAGATCCTATGATTTTTTGCCACACCTGTGCTACAAAATAGTTATTTCATCTAATATTTTATATTGTCAATTATATATTTTCCAAGAGTACAAATAAATGATTTACCAAGTCCTTATGGTTAATCCCGCTATTCTGTTAAGAGTAACTGTGTAGGTAGCAGGTGCTGCTAACTGGTTTCCCTCCCTTTAGTAAGTAGTTTTAAGTTAGGGGTGGTTATGTCCTGAACCTTGGGATGTCTGGACTGAGTGTTTAGTTTCAGGTTGTTAAATTGCCTGAACCTTGGGATGTCTGAACTGAGTGTTTAGTTTCAGGTTGTTAAATTGCCTGAACCTTGGGATGTCTGAACTGAGTGTTTAGTTTCAGGTTGAAAATTGCCTGAACCTTGGGATATCTGGACTGAGTGTTTAGTTTCAGGTTGAAAATAATAAATGTAGTACTTTATTATTTTTTCTCATTTCTAACTTGCGATTAATCTGTTATTTATTTATTTATTACTTCCTGCATGTGTTTTAATTCTTGTTTCTTTTTTTTTCTTTTTTTGTTCTCTCCACGCCTGGTCTGTTTTATAATTTATCATCAAGTGCAGTTTCAGGGCACAACAATCCCTTGTGGATCGATCACGGAAATAATGCAATGATTTATACGGTTCATTTAGTACGAGATCGTGAAGATTATTTTTTGTTTAAACGTTCTTGAAGTATTGATCAATGCGATACGACAACAACCAATACCTTTACCCCACCCATCGTAATTAACGAACAGAAAAACAGTTAATAATAACAATAAGTACAATAAACTTACATTTTCTAAGAATAGGAGGCTGCTGTCGAGTTGGTAGGATTCCATAAAATTCAAACTGCTTTTCCTTTGTTTATCTGCTACATAATTCCGTCAGAGGGAGCTTTTCTGTGTATAGAACATTGAAGAGCTATCTTTTCAAAGTACTTGAAGTTTCTCTTTTTTTGTTTATACCACCGATCTTCTTCAGAACTTCAACGCCTTGAGAAACACTGTGTTTATCTTAATATTATTAGAAACGTAGCTAGGGTACGTGAAATATATTTTTCTTTTTTAATTTGTTCTTCTCTACCAATACTGTTTAGTCTGATGTATTAGTGAGTGAAAATTTGATGCTGATTTTGTTTCATCAGAGTTTTTGTGACCGAAAAATTGTTGTTTCTTCAAAGCTTCACTTTATCCACCGCAGGGAAGAGCCCCAGATTTTAGTAAATCTGTAAACCACCAGAGGACACGACTGAAAACACATGTTTTATTAAAGTTTTTGGGTACTGAGAAATGAAAACTATAACCTAACGTGTGCTAGTTATTCTGTGTGTAAGTACTGCATATTTAATTCCTTTTTAATGATTTTACGAAATTTCTTGTATTGGACAGTCTACCATTATTTGTTCACGATCTACAAAACATATTCTAACGTTTTTCGTTTGTATTGTTTTTTAATTTGTACTGAATCGTAGGCAGATTTTTGCGACTTATAATTTCAGCCTTAGGGTTTCATTTCACTTTTATTTAACTCATAACTGTAATAAATTACTTAGGGGAAACTAATAACAAAAGGTATAAACAAATAAGTATAATAAAACAATTTTAAATTTTATAAAGACGTGCAGGGATCGATATATACGTAACGTAGCTAGCTATAGTAATATAGAACGTTTTAATGCTACAAACAGTATTGAAACAAGAAAGTCAAAACTACAAAAACTGAGTTACTTAAAATTAAAAAAATATATCCCTACTTTTGCAAACCGCTGTAAATGTGTTAGTCTGAGCCAAAGTAGAGATAACATTTTTTAACTTTTAAGCAACTCAGTTTACGTAGTTTTGACTTTCTTGTTTCAGTACTTTTTGTAGCATTAAAACTTTCTATATATTACTATAGCTAGCTAGGTTACGTATGTATCGATACTACCTGTTTTAGACAATTTTAGGTTTTTTTATTATACTGGTTTGTTTCCTTTTTATTACCTATATTTTTATGCGCCAGCAAAACAAGTGTGGGGCGCGTGTATAACCAATTTGACTTTATTATTTATTCATCAGGATCTATACCAACTTACACTCAAAAATAGTTATATGCCCAAAATAGGGCATCTTCCGTTTTACACACACACACATATATATATACTAGTATCCTTTTCGGTACAAGAAAGGAATCGTTGGGACCACAGACGGAAGAGTTCTGTGAAAGAATTAGAGCGATAAGGTTCGTCATTTTTCTGTACGCTTGTCTGGAAACGTTACTTACTTACTTAGATGAAAGCTCGTTGAAATAGTGAAATCTTGATTCACTCCATAAACACACATATAGCGTTTTAGGCAGCTTTATAAGCACAATAAGATTTAATTTTGCTTAGCCAATACTGTGAAATAGTCATTATTAATACTCAGACATTTTAAAGGTGGTTTTTAAACGGGCAATTTTTATGGCCGCCATTTCGTTTCACCAAGATCCCTACTGTCACTAGTGTATTTAATGATTAACATTTTCTAACCTAAAGTGTCGTCAGGTCCTACTAGTAAGCTAACGCCATCTATCAAGTATGTTTGGAAATTATAAAGGAATATCTATATTTAAAAAATCGCAAGTGATTACAGAAAAGTAATGATTATTTTACTTTTTGATTGTTTGTTATTAAACACAAAGTCACACATTGGACCGTCTGTGCTGTGTCCACTGTGTGTATGGAAATAATAATAGGCCTATAAAGATATGGAATCAGCATACTCAGGTTTAATGTCTGTGACATAACATTTGTGTGTCAATGAAAACTTTGTAATCTAATTTATTTCACAGAAGACGACCAGATTTTTGGTCCAAGTTAAGTGGAAATAACGTCAGAAAAATGTATCGTGTTTTATAGAGAGGTGTGCTGCCGTGGTGGTGTCAGAATAAAAATCCATCAAACGCTGTTGTGTCTACTGACAAACAAGACTAACTTTTTTATAGAATAGATAAGTTGAACTCACGAAATTCTGCAAAAATAAATTGTTTTTTATTCACTTTAATTTGTGAGGGGTATGATAAATATTTCTGACGTTGATTATAAAGTATTACCTTAAAGTAAAATGTCTTGGACTAGTTGTTAACGTGCCGAAATGATGCCGCTAAGTTAAAATACGCTTCTCGGTTTCAGCTGTGGGCACGTTATAAAAATGACAGTCAGTCCAGTTTGTCATTCAGTTCAACGAACTAGACAAAATTAGAGACGACTGTAACTGAACGGCGACATGAACACTGAGTAAAAGAGGACATTAAAATATTAGATAGCTGTGGGTTTCGTGTCGAATGTAAAAGGTCAGTTGGACTGAATGAATAAGTAATGAAGGAATGATCGAGATGGTGAATAGAATATTGATGAAAGAAATCAGGAAAAGGCAAAAGATATTTTGTGAAGTAAATCCTAGAAGGGAGGATTCAAGGGCTTAGGTGTAGTAAACGAAAATCATTGCTGGACGATCTGAGAGATGATATGGTGAAAACAAGAAGTGAAGGAGAGAGAGGATTGGAGGAGATTTTGATCCAAGAACATGTCATTAGGTAAATAAACTTAATGATATACATGAACTCGAGAGGTCTCCGATTTGGTTGTTAAGCGTACGTGTGCATGAAGCGTCATTTAGATTTAGGATTCCAGTTCCTGGTTGTTGTTGTTGTTTGTAATTAAGCACAAATCTACACAATGGGCTATCTGTGCTCTGCCCACCACGGGTATCGAATCCCGGATTCTAGTGTTGTAAGTCCGTAGACAGACCGCTGTGCCACTGGGAAATAAATTGTTGCCAACCGTTTCACGAAAAGCAAGTTAAATGCTGCCGTAGTTGATAAATGTACGTTCAATTTTTAACTATTAGTGTGCTGCATGAGCCAAGTTAAATAAATGAAGAATAGTACATGGAATGTAGAGTTTTTGTGCTTGTGTACTGCACAAAACACAAGAATCATATGTTAATACACTACCTAGGATATAAAAATACATATTGTTACGACAGCGGAAGTCACGTGACGCTGGTAACACGTCATGAATTTCTAGAAGGATCATGACTTTTCTTGGCAACTCTAGTCTTTTCCAGGCGCCCTCTATTTTAGTATATAAGCCCGGCAAATAAAGCGGAGAGATAGCAGATTGAAGAGAGATATGGAGACAGATAATTGAGTCAAGTGAGCGGTAATGAAAGTAAAGTGCGTGAATCGTTATGAATTATAGCGTATGTTTAAGTTAAAGTGACTGTGGAAATTCTATGTATTGCAAAGTTGTATTGAGAAAGAATAAACTAGTTTTAGTTAAAGAAAGGACTTGTATCGCTGAAGTTCCTCGGGAAGAATTTATACCGGAAATTAACAAACGACTAGAGACGTAATATTATTAACATTTTGTGCACTATATGTTACTGCACCTCATAGAACATATGTACTATGTTTTGTTGTGCATATAACGTGTGCTCTAAGTGTTAGTGTACTACGTAGAACGTGTGTACTAAGGGTTAATGTCCTGCATAGAACGTGTGTTGTTTGATAGCGTACTACTCAGAACGTGTGTACTGTTTGTTGTGTATTGCACAGAATATATATGTTATTTGTTATTGCACGTGTGCGCTATGTGTTACTGTAATACGTAGAACGTTTGTGTTATGAATTACTGTACTACACTGAATATGTGTTATTTGTTGTGTATTGCACAAAACGTATCTACTTGTTTGAGTACTACACAGAACGTGTATGTTATTTGTTGTGTACTGCACTGAACGTGTACACTACGTGTTAGTTTACAACACAGAACATTTACACTAAGTGTTAGTTTACAACACTGAACGTGTATAATTTCTATGGCGTTTTGAATCCGTTTTACTTCACCATATAGTAACCTAAATTAATATGAATAATGTTATGACATTTCGTCGAATTCATTATTCAATATTATATAGTGGACCAACAGTTTAATGACTATATATATATATATATGTGTGTGTGTATGTGTGTGTGTGTTAAAGATTTATTTCTTTTTCACCAAGAGAATCTATGACGTAGAGGCTTAATGCATTCTTATATTGGCCGTTTTCTCTGCTGTGGACTGCAATTTCGTCTATTCAAGGCTCATCAGCATAGAGTGGGTCAGCAAGCCAAAGAAATACCATTAGGCCTCTTATAATCTTCTATGACAAAATCTCTATCTTCTGGTTTTGCATCAACAACAGCCACACCTGCAATGTCCATCTGTGTCTCAGTAATTGCTCCCATTAGGTCTTCTTTTCTCTCAAAGTACCTCTTCAACTGATTGGCGTGGTAGATCTCGGTCTTTCACCTGATAGTCCATTCTGTTGACCACTTCCTGCACTTCAAAATGTCCTTTACACTGCAGGGTAAGTTTGTTGTTGTCTGTAGGTAGCAGAATCAATGCCTTCTGTCAGATCTGAAACTATGGCTTTCTTGTCACCTTTTGAGCCTTGCTTGCTTTTCTTTTCTTGCACTTTTGTGGTGACTGCAAATGGCTCATCAGTTTCCTTTCTATCTGATTCCTCCAGCCCTTTACTACCTGGTATATTGCCAGTAACCATGTTGTAGATTGGTGCCTTCATACACATGGCCTCAAGGTCTCTCACGTAGTATGGAGTGTCCATCTTTATTCTTGCTATAGGAAAGTTTCTCACTGTCCCATCAAGCAGCACACATAGATGTACCTTGCCCACCATCTGGCCATCAGATACTAGACTAGTTCTCACTGCTGCACTGCTGCGCCTAATGTCTCATATGACTTTCACTTTTTTGTCCCTGACATAGTCTTCACGAACTGGCATGTTTGTTGACACCTCTAGATTTATGTCACATGCTCCAATTACCACTGGAACTGTTGTTTTGTTTGCTAACTTGAGCTGACCATGAATCATGCACCGTTTAATCATGGTTATAGCACTTCTTTCTTGTGGTGAAGCTGATTAGTTGTCTTCATTCTATTTCTTCTGGCAGCAGCATCCATGTTGAAAGTCACTCTTTTCTTGTTTCTTGCCAGCACCATTTTTGTAGGAAGTCCCAACTGAGTTATGCTGAGATTTCTGCTGTTGCTTGTTGGTAACAGACTTGCACTCACTCGCAATCTGCCCCATTTTATAACAAGCATAGAATCTCTTCTCCCTTTTGTCTGTTAAGTTCTTTTCACCTTTGGTGACTTTGGGCGAATCTTTCATACCTATCCAGGAAGCATCCATGCCATCTTTCTGTTCATCAAATGTGGGCAGCTTGTGTCAGCTGTGACCCCATTATCATTCTTGGATTCTTTGTCTTTCTGTTGGGCTGAGCTTGGCGGTCTCAGTTTGTGCTCTACTTCTAGTCTCTCCCCTTTCCTTATTTCTCTCTTTCTTGGGCTTGTATTTCACACCCACGTTCTTCTTTCAGTTTTCTCTTTCTTCCTCTCTTCTCTGCCAATGCTCTTTTCTCTGTAGGTCTCATAGAGCTCAAATC